TACCATTAGAGGTCACTTCATAGCGCTGGAACAGTAAATTCATCATGCCACAGGATATACCAAGCCCAAGGAAGCCAGTAAAAACACTAGTCTCAAGTCATATTAAGTAATATGGATCCTTTCAGTATTGCATAGCCTAAAAATTATTTTTAAAAACTTYTACAGCTTTGCACAGTGATGAAGGAAGCTTTTCAGTACATAGAATTTTTTCCCTAAAATTACTACAGTGCTCTATGTTGAGATCCATAAATCATGGCATCACCACGAAGATGCTCATGTTTGCATATTTTGAAGGGTTCCCTTAAAAACTAAGCAGGTATATGACATCTGAGATAATATTTAGCCCAGCAGTACAACAGTTATTGACACCTAACTGGAGAGCCACACAGAAAAAAAAAACCTCTGCAAGAACAGCTATGGCCTCTGCTGAAACACACCGCGGGGCAAAGCAAACTCTGACAAACTGCATAAGCACAGCTTCTCTAAGTTTATTTTTAGCCTAGTTTTTTTTTTTTTAACGAAAAAAAACAAACTGTGCTACACAAACAGTTTTAAAGGAGCTGTTAGCACACAGGAACTACCTTGAAGCTGYTCCCACGCAGTGCTCAGCAACCAGAAAACCAAACTAGAAAGAAAACAGGTTACCCTATAAACCTACTTCACCCATTTTTGGTGTCCATACCCCCCATACCAACCACTCACCCTTAAAAAAATGGCTGGGGGCAGAGGAATGAAGGAGGCAGAAATACTGGAATATTCAAGAGAATAACTTAACATAAGACTGTATTTTACCATTTGGAAGAGACATCYGAAGACAGAAAAAAGATAGAGATCTCTAAAATCACAAAGGATGTGCAAACTGCAAAAATAAATGACTGCTCACTAATTCTCATGGAAGTCCTCAATAACTTGCAATAAAAGTCATCAAGAAAATTGTTTTAAAAAAAAAGGAGGGTTTCTTTCAGCAAGGCTATTAAACTGTAAAATTCTCTTGCCACGGAACACCTTCAAAGTATAGCAGCATTTAAGAAGTGAATTAGAGCTTTCAGGAGCTTTGTATACAAATTGCTATGCAACACAGTTCAAATGCAGCCTCTACTTTATCAAGTTCCTAAATTGTGGATTGCCATGAGAAAGGATACATTCAAGGCATTTATAGTCTCTGAGCATCATGAGCTATGTGTCATTCCTGGAAAAAAATTAGCTGCATGGATCTTCGTCTGGAAGTGCATACCGCAGTCAGATTGAAGAAATACATAATTCTTTCTCCTCAGCCCAACATGCAGAACAGTCACTACCCTGACATCACAGCATTCCTCCAAATGCACTTTGCAAAGTTCACCACTCATTCACTATTCCATGACAAAATACAACACTGAGAAACAAAACCACTTTTCATTAGCTCTAGAAGCAGTTCACAGACAGTGAAAAWGCATCTTCCTGACAGATAAAGCAATCCAAGAAGTCATAAATACCAGCGGACACTAACAATTGATTCCAATGCTTCAATAAATTAAGTCCAAAAACTGGTTACATAAAGCAAACAATGCTTTCAAGTGTATTCAATTGCTTAGCAACTAAACAGATCTGCAGTGACTGAATATACTGCAAGAGATGGTCAGCAAACCAAGTACTGTTTATCAATACCTACACTTCCAGACTCAGAACTCAAAAGCAACTGCCACCTAAAAGAGCCGATACTCCTCCCAAACTCAGCATGTTCAACTTCTCTCCCTACACTGTCCTGTGACTGCAGAATGCAACCAGCAAAACAGAAGAAAAAGAACTCACACCAGCCATTTGCTGTCTTGCATCTCCTGCAAGAAAGGAAAGTTTGTGCACTGTCTGGTGAGTTTTMACCAGTTCATGTATATTTCTTATTTCTACACAAGCTTCCCAGTGGCAGGGTTTGTACCTATTACTCTAAACTCAGCAGTGCAGCTGAACACACACAATACCTTTAGCACAAATATAGACACCCCATTCCAACATTTGTGGTAGACACAAGAGCTTCTACTGCTGTAGTTACTACCTGTCTTTTGCTGGTCTTCCTACCCCGCTTCAATGCCTTTTTTTTTCTCAAAAAAATCATCATTCATTAAAGTGTTGCCTCTCTGCGCTCTGTTCAATTATCACTTTTTCCCTTTCTGACCTGTAAAGTAGCCAGAAAAAGTGTTCTTTGCTTGATGTGATAAAGAAAATATGCAGGCTGGAGYGGCACAGAAAAATCAAAGGAGAGAAGATAAAGCAGAAAATTCTTACTCATTATATCATTCAGAAGATGCCAAGAATAGGTAGCCAAAGATTAGGTTAGATGACTAATTTCTGTAGTCTATCACTTTTCAAACAGATACCAAGTTAAGCAAAAATTCTAGGTTATGTCAGGATTTGCAGACACTGTTCTTCGATCAATGCTTTTTAAAAAGCATGCCCTGCTTCTTTAAAAAGAAATGCTCTAAGGATGTGTTCTTTGATTTTTKAATTTTTTTAACAGCTCAATTTCTTCCCTCATATCAGTTGCAACAGTATACACTTAAGGTGCAAATAGCAGTACCATTCAATGTATTCCAAAAAGCTATTAAACTATTCCTAGTCAGAATGCATGCCCTCAGCAATCATTGTTCCATTATCCCTGTGAATAACATGTTCCTTCAAAAGACATTGAAATTAAAGCTGAAATCTTAATACAAAGATTTTATATAAACAGTTAGAAATAAACAGGAACTTTGCCAAAGACAGAAAAACAGGCTTGCCACTAGATATAAGTTGCAAATAAACCCACTGAAAACATAAAAGAATAGAATTCTTTGTCTGYACTCATGTCCTATCACTTTTATGGAATCAACTAAATCCTGAATTAGTGTCATACTACAATACATACTAATCTGGCAACTAGTGATACTGTCTTCAGTAAAAACTCTTCCTTTAACAAATGAAATATCTGATTGAAGGCAAACACATGGACAATTGTAACTAAACTGAGCACAACAGCATCATGCGTGCTKGTTTAAAATAAATTACAAAAAATGCCACAAAATTCTTACAAAGACACTTGCAGCAGACTGAAGAAGAATGGCATGTAGGGCTACAGGCCTGCTCACTGCTTCCATGGAATCCTATCACTGCTCCAGACAGCAGAAGAGTTTTGGGATTTCATCAGTAAGGACCACATGCTGAGTATTTACATATACATGGATCATACCCTAAGTCTAGCATCAACATTAAGAGTCACAGATCTTATCTGTGTACAAAACACAGAACAAAGTTCTGTGTAATACAAGACAAATTTAATCCCGTACTTCACCAAGCCCACAGCTTCTTGCTGAATTAAGAGTAAACTTCAAAGGTACCATCAGTTCTTTGGTTACAGAAATTAGATCTAAATAATCTCAAATTACTACCAGCGTTGTACATCAAAATGGATGTACATAATTTGCCCCTTGTTCTGACCTGCCTCAACTCCTCCAGCGAGTACCAAAGTCTTTAGACAAAGCAACACTACCCATGCTGTCCTAAAGCTTAAATCCTGTCACAACCATCTTTCATCTTATCATGGATAAACACAAAAGGCCCTGCTGCACCCTCTCCTGCTTTAATACAARGTTTATAAACTGAAGAAAACAAATCTTTTCCAAAGCAAACAAAATCATTCCTCTTTTAAGGTCTATTTTCCATTCAGCCTCTTATCATCAACCTTTCTCCCATTTAATTTGGATTTTCAGACAGCAGTTCCCAAAACCAGGCAGTCTCCGGCACCAAACAGAACAAACTAATTACTTCAAGTCCCGCACAAAATTCCAGTTATAACCTGGAATTAAGCCTACTTTTCCATTCAACATTGTCATAGCAAGTAGACTGTTACTGGAACCTACTCTCTTCTCACATACTGCTGTATAACCAACTATACTCAATTTCTATTGAAAATTTTCCGTATGTTTTACCTTGCACACAAGATTAAATGAAATCCATCAATCCCYTGTAAAAAGAAGAAATGGACTGAAAAATCATATTTTTGTGTCCCTCCAATTTTCTTTCCCTCAATTTTTGATGTTTAATTTTMAGTAATAACTTAAATATTTCAATAAAGCTAATGCAAGACCTTGTTGTTTAAGTTTTTCAGCTTTCTTTGAAGGAATTTTATGTAATAAAACTTTCAGCAAAAAGACATTATCTGAGAAAGTCTGAGAATTGTGTCATCTGGCTAACATATAGAACATACAGTTCATAATCTTAACTGAAGTTCCTAAAAGTCAGGCTTTCTTTTACATGTTTGATTTAAAAAAATGCTGAGCAGATAATTTTATTCAAGTTAGTAGATGTTAAAGGAACGTAAGTTCCAGAAACTGCTCTGAGTGTAACAAATAGAAATAAACATAGAAGTTCCCATTCAGAAACAAAGTACTACCAAGTACACTGAAAAAACCACAAAAGTTAAAGACATCCTGACTGAAAAGCTCTTTGTATGTTCCCAGCAAATTTTAAATAGTTAAAGTGTTCAGTTTCATTTGAAATTGCTTTGGCTCCAGGCTACAAAAGACATACTGAAGATAGATCACCACTGATCAATTTTATTGGAAAGCTCCAAAGGACTGAGCWGTATCTCTGTACTGCATGCATACAATAAAGGTTTACCATCCTCCTAAATACTAATATAACATACAGAGCAGCCCAAAAAGCAAAGACTATCGAATAAAGCTAGCTTTCTTGACGGCAGCCGAGAACGACAAAAGTACATATTCAGATGTTAAATATTGCAATTTAATAAACAAAGAGACTTCATTCCGTCTCTCCAGGATAGTTTTTCTGATGCAAGTTCCGCCCATCTTGTATTACAGACCAAGAAAACGTTAAATTACTATCACGGTACCTACCTGCTAGATTAAAAGTAGTTGGCTTTTCAAACAAACAGTGTCTTTCATCTCAAATTCAGCACAGAAACAATTCCAACTTCAGTGAACGTATCAGGTAAAATTGCAACCTAACGAGTGACAGACACTTACCAATGCACACATCTATCTTCCCCTTGATAGCAGCCTCATGCAAAGGAGTGTAGTTCCAATTGTCTCTAGCATTTGGGTCTGCCCCCTGACACAGCAGCAGACTGACCACTTCTGCGTGACCAAAGGAGCAGGCGTTGTGCAGGGGTATCAGTCCTCCGTCGTCACGAGCGTGAACATTGGCTCCTGTCTGCAGCAAGTGCTCTACAACATCCTTCCTTCCAAAACCTGCAAGAGAACATATTTCTGTTCATTAGTCTAGCATAACAACATGATTTAGTATCTAAAACTGCTCACTCTTGGTTCAGTGTACATTATTCATGTCCCACATCTACTTTTGGGTTCATTTCCCATAGTCTCTATTAAGCTGCTTAAACATCAGCTGGACGATTCACTCACACTTATGACAGAGCTGAACTGTGTTGTATTACAGCCTGCCTAGCTGCCACTTTATCTCATTAAGAAGTTCTACAAAGGYTTCCCATTCTTTTTCAAGAAAAGCTTCTTTTGAATTTTAAAAAATTACATGACCTGCATGTACCTAAAGGTATTGTCTTACACATGATCTCTTGACATCATAGGTCTTCATCTTGGAGAAAACCTCATATGTGACCTTGAAGGACACTGGTAGTGCTTAAGCAGAACAACTTCATTCCAACCCACACTGCATTCTTGTTCTTTTACAAACAGTCTGACTGCTTCCAACTGACAAAGACAATCCAGACAGGTAGATCCAAGACTTCAATTGAGAAATAATGCCTCAGAAAGGTGTCAGCCTCTGTTATGACCAGGGAAGACATCACCACAAAGCCAGCATCATTAAACTAACACACTTCAAAGTTTGGCACCAGCATTACAGGCTCTGACACCTTCAGGTTGTCGTCCATGATGAACCCGAAAAGGTTCCACTGTCCAAATCTGCCTCCTATTGCCCCAAACGTCTTAATTCAGCAGTTTCTAAAGTTTTGACTGCACATACGTATCAGTAAAAAAAAAATTTAGCATGCATCCTCAATGTACATATATTTTTAAGTCATATACATGCACTACTGCATTATTACATAATTACAAACATGCACAAAAAATAGGAACTTTAAAAGGCTGAGATAAATATGAAATAAATATTGTTTAAAAATTTCTATTACACTACTATTGATGATACAAAATATATGTTCTTCCTGCAYCCCAATGAAATATTTTGTATATTCCACTTTGGAGACCACTGCCTTAAAGGCCAGGAACAAAAATCAGGGTCAAGAGGGACAGTTTGAACTAAAACAKAAGTGTACATTTTTGTACTAGGTTGCATCTCAAAGGCTGGATTGCTTTTCTTATAAAACTCAGGGCTAAAAGCAGTTATCACTTGTTTTCCCCAGATGCTTCCTTTTCAAATTTCTCACTGTTTCAGGACTACACACACATTTCCTCAAGATATTGCTGGACATGGGGTCATTGATAAGACTATCTTTGGAAACACCAGCAATAAACACTTTACATTCTTTGGTGAATTACCTCTTTTGTTCAGTCCTTAAAAAGCACTGTAAAGGTTACTGTGATTTTATCCCAACCCACCAAACATCTTTCAGAGAAAGAGTAACCAATTATGGGAATAGCTTCCCCACCAACAACAGTAAATCTAAGGTGTTGAATTGCCAAAGTGCTAGAAAGRCTTCGAAATGATCCCATGACCCAATTTGATAAAGCAGATGTAGCTACCAAAATTTCTGCAGTGTCTGGGTCATCTTTCACAAAAAAACCAGAATACATACAAAGCCATTTGTGACTTATGAAGCATATACAATTCAGTTTAACCTGCAGAAACCTATTTGATATCATTTATGATTACTTTTTAAATCCTACTCTTGCATATTTCCAGTGCAACTTTAATTTACAAAGTCTAAGGAAGAGATCCCAAGAAAGGAGAAGCATTTAAAGATCCCAAAAGACAATCAAATAGAAGGTTCCTACAGAAAACATCCAAAACCAGGGTAACCACAGAGAAGAGTCCCATTGAAAGGCCCAGCATGCAAGCTTGTTTTGATGAAATTCATCCATCAGGTTCCAAAGCACACTCATGGACAAGGTTCCTTTAATAAGGCAAAACCCATTTGTAAAAACTTTTACACAGGTAAAATGCACAAACTTTGCCCTCATTTTAGTTTCTTTACACAATTCAGAAGTTTCAGGCAAGTTGCAGTACACCTAAAAAGACATTGTCCCTGAGAGAAAGGAAGAAGTAATCCCATTATAAAAACACAGTWGCAAAATAACATTTGTAATTTAAGGGTGAAACAGTCATCAGACAAATCAAAGAAAAGGCAAAAAYTCAGCATGACTGACAGACTCTACATTTCTCCAGTTATCTCACAGGAACAAATTAAGACAAAGTGAAATTAAGTGAAAAGTCAGGAGCTGGACATAGCTATGACAGTTCTCTATAAATCAAGAGATCAGCACACTTCACAGAAAAYGCCACTTAGCTAGTTCTCTGCCAATGATATATTCTTGCCCTTTTCTAATTTATAYCTGTCACTTTAGGCTGAAAGGGAGGAAAAAAGGCTTTAGGTAGCAAACTGGCAGCTTGAAAATTAAGTGTAACAAAAATTTGAAATCCCATCAGAGAAGATGGCGCACAGAAACACCAACAAATGTTTACTACTGCTGCCACAACAACATGTCCTGCTCTCTCATCACATCCTGCCCTGAGACCTGTCCCACTTCTTCTTGTGGTATTTAATCAAAGGAATAAGAGGCAATGGGCTAAGTATGCTGAAGGACGAGAGAGGAATTCAAGGAAAGTAACAGGAGCACCAGTTGTACCCTCCACTACATACTGCCATTAGGGTTTCCACTTTAAACATCCCTTCAGTTAGTCAMAAGCTTTCACATGATAATAGTTTACAGACAATTTAATTACTAATAGTCACAAAAGACACATAATTCTTTGCCAAATTTTCAGAAAGTTTGGTAAAAAAGCAACTGACTTCCCTCTAGAATTGGAAGAATGCTTTCCCTGGTGAGTAAAATACATCAGGTGGTCCTTCTGTTCAGTTTAAATGCAGCTGAACTGTTTCACCCACTGCCCAATTAACATGACTTTATCATAACATAGCACAAAYTCCTCCAAATGCCAAATCCAACCTCTGCAAAGCTGCTGTTACGTGCACATTTTKACTTAGGATGTGAAAGACTTCCGATTCTCATTAGGTATTTTTCCTCCTCCTTTCACCTGCTTGCTTTTAAGAACAAGACTCCAAAAGGAGTTAAGTTTTACAGGAGTGTATAATCACAGGTTAAACACGCCTGTAGGTATCACCAGGACCTTARGCAAAGCTGGAAAGATGCTCTTATTAAATGTAATCCCACTTGTTASAGTAGTAAACATAGTTTATATGGGAATCCAAGCCTTGAGGTAGAAGAGCACTCTTARACACATGACCTTTACAGAATGGTTTCACACTAAGCAAAGGGTGAAAGAACTCCAAGCTAAGTCATTGTGTCTCTCTGCTCTTGTACATCGCAAGCTAGGGGAAGATCTTTTCCCCAAGAAAGTTTTCCAAAAGCCCCCAGCACTTCTACCACTTCACTAGACAGAACACAAACTGAGTGATTTAACWAAGTAAACTAAGTAAAGTGCCTTCAAGCTGGGAAAAAGAGCTCCTGGTTCAGTATTACTGAAGGTCTAAGATTTTGCATTTACATCCTCTTGCAAATTCCTTCAAAGAATTTTTAAATTGGAAGGAGACACATTGCACAAAGTATTAGAAGATAATTCAAGAGAACAAGTTACTAGTCACAAAGAAAGCAAGCTGAAACTTTCTATGAAGTAATACACTTCTAACACCAACAGAATTTATGTACCATAAATGCTACCAAAAACATAACAGTAAGAATTTGAAAGTCAAGGCAAATAATTTATCGATTCACATTTTCTACAGACTCTGAGGCTGTTTCTACAGACTCTGAGGCTGCCAGGATGTTTCCTAATTGACTACACAACTTGCATTCTTCATTCTATCCATATGAATCCAGCTGAAAATTATTAACCCCGTTTTAAGTTGCACAAGGTAGAATTAAACAGTGACTTGGCTTTACAAACACCTGTGTGAGGTCAGGCATCTCTTCTATGACGAGGACACATGGGACAACTGCATCAAGTTGAGTCAGAGTACTTTAAGAATGGTGTCTCAAGCAGGGCTTTCCAGAACAATATAATCTAATTTGCTGTATATTGCATCACAGGTGGAGTGGTCAATTCAGGTGTCTCTGCACAGAGTGGAAGTGAGTAGTAAGTTACMAACTACTTCTTGCCATTTCCGGGCTCTCCCTCAAGGAACTCAGTAGCTACTTGTATCAGCACTGYCTCAGCTCAGTTGCTTATCTTACATATGTCAAAGCAGCTTGCTTTTTTATGATTAACAGSTTCCTAGCTGACACACCAACCAGATCAGCTCTCAACCCAAGTGAGATCCCTTTGCCTTCAGGATTAAAGCTGTAACTCCTGAAATTTTTGAAAGCATCATTATTTATGCTAGCTTTCACACAGCAATTAGACTTCCAACAGTTATTACCAGTAATATCAAAAGAATGCTTACGCAAAACTGCTTTTCCCAGACAGTTTTTTGCCATTACTATACACATAGGCAGAAAGAAAACAAGCTGTATCACTGATGCTTTAAGACATCACCTTAAATCAGGTTTCTCCAAGCCTGAACTTCAGTGAGACCACCAACACTCCACTCCATGATCCCAGTTCTGTAATTTCCAAATGTCACTCCTGGAAGCCTCGACCTCTTGTTGATACAGACGTGGACGTTAAGCCACAGTTCAGCAATTATTATTAGTACTCTCTATGTCCCTGGGTTAAAAAAAAACAACAACAACAACAAAAAAAAAAACAAACAAACAAACTAGAAAGAAATACCTGTAAAGCTAAAAGAATGTGTTGCACAAGAACTTGAGGGGCTGACCAAAAAAAAAGTTAAACTTCGCATTGAATGGGTGTGGAACTGGACAAGCTTATGACTGTGGCTATGTGAAGAAATTGAATAGGACTCAGCTTATTTCTACCAGGTCAATCCACTGAGTCACCTCTGAAAGAGGTGCTATTACTAATGATTTACCACCAAGGACTAGGTCTAAAAACATATGAATGAAGGTATCAGCAGMAAATCCATATATATTTTTTTAAGGGCTAAACCTAGTTTCAGAAAGGAAAAAAACAAGTTTGTTACCACTCTGCCTCCAGTTAAAAGCTGGGATTTCACACAAACACTYACAGGAGTCCTCCCCATCCAGGCATATTAACGGCAGAACAGCCACAGAAAATCAACCTTGCTATGTGAGTGCTACGTATGGAGGATGACACACACAGTGCCATGAACACATCACTGTCAACCTGCTTCAAACACAATGGACCAATACAAGCACCCCAACTTGCAAACCACATAATGACGCACAGGATATATCCTAGGCTGAGAGTAAAGTCACACCATATCCCATACAAATTATAACTAAAACATGACACCTTATCATGTAGATTAAAATCATCCAACTAKTACAAAAAGCCAATAGCACTCCCCAACGGGAAAAAATCTACCTGTCATACAGAGGGTATGTAGAATACACACAGAATAACCAAATYATTTGATTTTGCTAGCAAAAAAAGGTATTTTATTAACTATGAGACAACACTACCCTCAAATGCAGAATTGTCAGGCCAGTTTACAAGAACAGACAACAACAGCGTAACCAATATTTTCAGCTACTGAGGGGCATATAATATGGTAAAGATGTTCATATTTTGGTGAAATAAACAATGACAGTTAAGATCTTTCTCAAGGAAAAGAGGTAACACATCTTTAGATCAAAGAAATGCAGTAGAAAGACAAGCAAGTGAAATAGTTTGTCTCATTCAACCCAGTTTAAAGAAGAGCACAGAATATTCCAGTGAAGAGGGTGGAAAGTACAAGAGAAAACAAGTTACTTGTAATACAAGTTAGCACTCCAAGCATTTAATTAACTCCTTACCACAGGAGGACCCTCCAAAACATTTGAAAAYTGGCTTTTGTTCAAACAATTGCTGAGCTACAAACTACAAGAGTACTCAGGGAAATATCATATAAAGAGGGCAAGTGTAACTCTTCCCTAGATATCTGCTTTTGGCCACCATTATGGATAAAAAGTTAAGCCAAACATACCTTTGTTCATGTGTAGCACAGTTGCTTTTCAAATTTTTTTAGTTAAGCAAGCCAATTTTCATTGAAATAAACTGAAATGTAAAAGCTATGCATACATTAATACCTCCACTTAATTTTTTTCGGTGGGGGGGGGGAAACGTGTGTGCATGTGTATCTTAAAGTCACTCAATCACTTCCAAGTCTTTAGAACCTGCTTTGTGAGTGCTGCTGCACAATATTCAAAGCCTGCACTTGGTACCAGAGACCCACATATCCTGTAATCCACACAGCAGCTGAGACAGTACTCAGTTTTCTCCTTTCCAAGCAAGGAGGATGAAAGGAAAACCATCCTTTCATGAACCTCTTCCTGCTTGCAAGAGAGGCTTCTATCATCCTGACATGGCCTCAGTATTAATTTCTGCCTTATTAATAGCTAACCAAAGCAGGTCAGACTTATTCAGCACACTACCTGACACTTCAACACAGATCTGAAGAACCAATTCCCCTTTATTCAGTTCAACTGACAATTCAGGTATCCCAAACAGAGAAAATGTGGATAACACWGTTGCTTCAATTTGATGTGGTCATGCACAATTTATCTGGAAGTGAATAATGGACAGGTGACTTCAACTTCCAGAAACAGATTTAGATCTATCCCCAGGTTCTGAAATAACTTSTAACAGATTTCAGCTCTCACCTTATCTCCAGCTTATACATATGACAAGGATTCTGAGTGCTCTAGAAGTCACTCTTTTCACAGTCCTTCTGCCACAAGAAAGGATGTAAAAGTGATTTTGAAATCAGAAATGTTACAAAATTTAAGGAAACCCAAACTTCGCACTTTTATAAGGAACTATAACTGGGGAGGTTGTCTTCTTGATTACAGTAAAAGAATTTAACTGCCTGGCACTGCTGCCAAAAAGGACATCTGAAAAAAACAGATTGAGCTGGGGAGAAGTCATGTACCCTGTGGAAGGGGGAAGGAAAAAACAATAAAACCCAGCTACCCTCAAAAATGTGAAATGAAGAGGAGATTAGAAGAATAATTCCTCTTTCACAAATCATAACATCAGAAGTGAAACTCCACTTAAGAGTTTAGCTTCAAGAGGTCTGAAAAAGAGCAGTTTAAAACATGACATACTACACTGTCAACCAGCCATCCCCTTAGTGAAAGCCACACAATCCACACCTAGGTATGGCTCATAAAAATGAGCTAYTATCCAAAACACAGCCTTCCTATACACAGCAGACTGCTATGCTCATAAGTAAACATGTTTTATTTTACATTTGGCCCACAAAACAGAACAAATCAACAGACTGCATCACGGCACAAATACACTGCCAAAGATGAGCTGCATTCAAACACATTTGCTTACAGACATTTCCAAAATGCAGGATCTCAAGATCTTTGTAGTAAGAAATCTGCCTAATGTTCTCACTTGTCAAAACCACYTGACATGCAATGATTTGAGATAAAATAGGTATGGTATCTAAGGAAAATCTTTAAATCTAGAAAAACAGATATGGGAATTTGTTAGGTACAGGAACTTCATCTGCTATTTTCCTCATGCTACAAAGAATCACCTTCCGCTGCTATTACAGTAACACCTTAATGACATTATCAACTTTCAAAACCTTASTTCTTTAAGTAAGTTTTGTCCATTTCTTGTCTAATCAGAGCAAAAGTTACCATTGCAGCTTCAACACTACAGTTTGTATTAGCACTGAAATTACAACCTGAGATCTCAGAGTTTTAGTGGAAGCAGCAAGGTCTAACTTTAAGTCTGAATCCAAAATTAGCAGAGCAGACTCAAGCCTTCAAGATACTAAGAACTTCAAGAGCACACACGCAATTGCATTCTGTTCCAGGGTTCATCAAAATTAAGTCCATCTCCATACTGCAGAAGTTTGCTGTGGTTTAAACTCCACTTTTGTAAGCCCTGCTTCAGTACTCCAGCTCAGAGATCAGAGAAGAAAGAAAAGGAAACAGCTCAGGACCAAAAGTTCCCTTAGGGGCATTGTCAAATGCCTCTTATACTTTGAAAATTAAAACWAATTATACAACCCTATACAATATCAGGGTGTGTTATCTGACTAATAAATAGTACAGCACTACTACTTAAGAGTTCCAGGCAACACTGCCATATAAAATGTTCATTTTGCTATTGATTTCAACGCAGTGCTTTAGATCAATCTGCCAGCATTCAAACACTGAGCATTCAACACAGACTTGTCAATTACCTTAATTTACAMATATCAAGGCACCACAAAGCTCAAACCAGATCTGTGTGCTTCACTACATAAGGTCCAGTTCTGTAACATCGTGGCACACCTCAGAAAACTAACACTAAGCACGGACCTAGCAATTGTACAAGTCCTAAGACAAGGCTGATGATTTTACTTTTAGCATGWATTTTGTATGCCTTGTGCCCCCAGTGAAGAACACACCCTGTAAAAAATGTCTTTTTATGAACTGCAGTAACCTGTAACAGTTCTCTTGCCAAAAGATAATAGTTACTTCCAGTTAGTCTACATCACTGGACCTTACTGCTAAATTACTTTCATGACATTAGTTCTGATCACAATGACACTTCTCTGCACAAAGATGCGTATTCTTTCCTGGACACACACCTGTAACTTCTATCAAGTTCAATTGTTCCACTTCACCTCTTTCTGCAGCCTACTTAGACCACAGGATATCGATCACCASCCATGCTTAAATGAAAGAAATTACMAAGTACAAGGCATCAGAATTGCTTCCCACGAAGTGCATGTGCATCCCAGAACTCTCAGGATTTCACCAGTGTTGTGAAAGCTCATACTTCAAGCCAACGATCCTAAATTTGTTTCTCACGTCCTAAGCCCACTGCACAAGTTTGCATCAGCCCAYGGATATCAAATACAGAGATCACTGTCCATTCTTTTAGATCTTACAGTCTGTTTACACTTCCAGGATCTCCTCTCCCACTTGTCTCACCCAGCGGAAGGAGATCTAACAGCTATGCCCCAACAGCCTGTAGCGAAACACCACCGGGGAAGTAAGTGTGCTCACACTCTTCCTTACAGTTTAAGCATGCCCACTCCCGAACCACCGAGGCGCTGGCGGCCCACTGCCCGAAGCTACYCTTGGGGAACCCTCCCAGTCCCGCTCGCTGTCACTGTCCTGGCCGGGCACGGGCGGCCCCGGTACCCACCGGCGGCGAAGTGGAGCGGTGTGGACTTGCGCCCCGCCATGTCCTTGGCGTTCACGTTGCCCGTGTCCACCAGGCGCTTCACGCGCGTCACGTCCCCATTCCTGCAGGCCTCCAGCAGCTCCCGGAACGCCCCGCTCGCCGCGCCCGGGCCCGCCGCTTCGGGGCTCTCAGCCGCCGGGCTCGACGCCGCCGACGACGAAGCGGACGACGAGGACGAGGACGAGGAGGAGCCGCTGGAGCTGCTGCCCGAGCCCGGCGGCGGGGCCGGCGCGGCGGCGCCCGAACCCTCCGCGCACTCCGCGGCCGGAGGCCGGTCCGCGTCGGGGGGCGCCTC